GCGACAAAATGGGTGATCGGCCTCCGCAACAAATCATATGAGGAAAGACTAAAGAAATTAGGTCTTTTCACACTCAGTTACCGTAGGCACAGGGGAGACCTCATCACCGTCTACAAGATCCTAAATGACCAGGCCCACCCAAATAAAAGCATCCTGCCATTAAGCGATTATAGGCTTCCACGAGGTAACCCGCTAAGGATAGCACACCAGAGACCAAAGACTCGAGTGCGATCACATTTCTTTTCGCTTCGTGTTTGCCGTCTCTGGAACGCTTTACCGGCGGCCGTGACTACAGCGCCATCTGTGGAGATTTTTAAGCGGAAGCTAGACAATCATGCAGAAATGCAAGGTTTGTGTCTCAATGGCTTATCCTCATAAAATTTGAAACCAAACTGTCAATGAATAAGCGTACTAACTAAATCCCCACGACCTATTCTGCCTTCTCTCACTCTATCTTTTCCTTAGGTCACCTTTATTATTCCACTTATCTCAACCTATATTATCTACACTACAACCTATTATTATTATTATTACTATTCTGCTTTTATGACTACACCGAATGACCAAGGGGAGTTAGGTCAAACTCCATTCACGGCAGCAATACAGTCCTAACATACTGCATACTACAAACCACATCTCGACCAATCCCCGCACCACTCCTCCTGGAGTCTACCAGAGCTAAAGCAGTCGAGTGTCGGGACTTACTACGCAGAAGCTCACCGAAGATCTGGAACCTCTACCTCACAATCAAGAAGCGAGCTCAAAGAAATCACTGGTTTATACTAGCTCGTCATCAGGATATTGGATATTGGATATTGGAAGAAGATCAAGAAAAAGCAGAAGCAATGGCAAACTACTTCTCCCAAGTCTTCACTCAGGAGTCATCACTGCCTATAGGATCAGCTCTGGCTGCATCAGAAGAACATGGGATAGATTCCGTTGACATCGACCAAGGCATCGTGCTCAACTTCTTAATGAAACTAGATGCAGGAAAATCAATGGGTCCTGACAGTCTTCATCCAAGGCTTCTCAAGGAGCTATCAGCCCACATAGCCGGCCCCTTGACCACGATCTTCAAGCTATCTCTCCAAAATGGAGTGTTGCCACGTGATTGGAAAGACGCCATAGTAACTCCCATACACAAAGGAGGATCAAGACAAAGCCCTTCAAATTACAGGCCTATCAGTCTCACCAGCACTTTAATCAAGACACTGGAAAGAATTATCAAGAAAAGCATCATGGCTTATCTGGAAAATAGCAGCTTGTTATCTGGAGCACAGCATGGCTTCCGGAGGAACCTCTCATGCCTGTCAAATCTCCTGACTGCAAGAGAAAGCTGGGTTAAATCAAAGGATGACAGAAGACCCGTTGACGTCGTCTTCATAGACTTCAGTAAAGCCTTTGATAAAGTACCTCACAAAAGACTACTCATGAAATTGGAAAGTCTTGGTATCAAAGGCAGACTACTAGACTGGCTCAGGGAATTCCTCATAGATAGGAGGCAGAGGGTTAGGATCAACTCAAAACTCTCCTCCTGGACAGCAGTAAGTAGCGGAGTGCCACAAGGCACGGTTCTCGGTCCTCTCCTTTTTATTCTGTATATCAATGAGTTACCTCTGCTGACCGACTCCCCTATGGTCCTATACGCAGGTGACTTAAAAATTTGGAGGGAGCTGAAGGGCAACAGTGATACGTCCACCTTGCAAGACGACCTCAACAAACTGTCGGAGTGGTCTGTTGAATGGATGCTCCCGATCAACGTGGCAAAATGTGCAACCATGCGCATTGGACAAGAAAGCACGAGCTCCTACGAACTAGAGGGAATAACACTTCCATCAGTTCAGACTCACTTGGACTTAGGTGTCATATTTAGCCACGACTTAAAAACTACAGCACACTGTCGCGCGGTGGCTGCACGTAGTTTCAGGTCCTTATGGGCGATTCGCAGAGCCTTTACAAGAATTACCAGAGATATGTTCACCTCCTTATACACATCTCTGGTTAGGTCAAGACTGGAAAACTGCATCCAGGCCGCCAGTCCGTGTCTAAAAGGGGATTCACACATTCTAGAAAGTGTTCAAAGGAAGGCAACACGTATGGTTCACGGCATAGCTAACTTACCATATGAGGAAAGACTAGATAGTTTAAATCTCTTCTCACTGTCATACCGTAGGCAGAGAGGAGATTTAATCACAATGTTTAAAATTTTAAATAATGACTACGGACCTGACCTATTCTCTCTTTTCCTTCCCACCAGGTCGGAACACCTTAGAGGACATAGCAGGAGAGTTCAAAAGCCAAGGAGAAATCATATTGCTGTTGAGTACTGGTTCTCACATCGAGTCATAAACTCTTGGAACCAACTCCCAGAAGAAGTGGTGTCTGCAACCTCAATTGATTCGTTCAAGAAGGGTTTGGACAACCACAGAAATCTACTAGAAAAGGATTAACATAGGCTTCAAGCCTTCTATCCTCAACCAATAAATCTGAATCTGAAATCTGAAATTATATATTGAAATCCAACCGAGTGTAGGCAAAATAACAAAGTGTTGCGGTACGCTGGGGTCCTACCAGCGGAAGAGGCTACAGCCAGTTTCTAGGTCATGATGAGTTCCTGCGCCGGCTAGTTATATGTTTTCGTGAATTTGTTTTCCATTGAATTTTAAAGGTTTTTCTGGATGTTGTGCTCATTTTGCAGTGTGTAGGTCAGTTTTTGTCACTGGGTGCTACTATTTAGCTTATTTTTAGCCTGAAGTTCACAGTTATTATGTTGGTAGTCAAAGATTATTGTAAACCTGCAATCATTGAGCTAATTAACGTATACTATGCTAACATAGTAACATAGACTATGATAGTAATAGTAACATTAAACTCCTTTACTGTTTTGCCATTGTTTGACAGTGAAACTGTGCGCTGATTTTTCAGCATGAGTGGCACTAAATCGAACCTACTGGGTCTGCTTATCAACTTTGTTCCAGCCCTCACAGGACATATTAAGCACGGACTAGCGTTACTCCATAGTGGAAAGTTTTGATTCAGCACGCAGCTGTCTTTTTAAGCACGACCTATGTCATTTCAGAACATAGTGGGTAAATATGTTCTTCAGTTACCATAAAAAGGCATTATCGAGGAATAAGTTAGAATAAATTTAGAATTGTTTTAAGCTTGGTGGTGCTGCGGTCTAAGTGATAAATCGTATTAATCACCCTTATTCAGGATATGCTATGAACCGGAAATCCTCAGCTGAAAAACGTATGAATAAGACACAGATCGGTGTAATTTATAACTGACTCCAAATTGCTTTCATCACGAAATAATCAACCAAGGTATGCTTTAAACTGTCGCTCTCAGCCGTTTGAAGGGAAATTTACTTGATTTATGCTGACCTAGTATGCACACATACCACATGTCATTGAATTGACGACTTAAAAAAGTAGATTAGTTAATACATACATTTATCTATATGTACTAATTAAGGATACATTAAATTTTTAGAAATTGTAGTTAAATTTTATTCGCCTAGTAATCAAAAATGCATACATCCTATTTTGGGCTTAAAATAAATGCATCAAAATTATTGTTGATTTATATTCACTTTCTGGACATTCTCATACATCTCAATATACTTTAAACATCAACAATGCATCCAAATAGCGTGTGACTGTCACACTACACTCACACCAAAAAAATTAACACGCCATTATATTATGGTAAGGTAAGCCCGAAATTTTACTGACTGTAAATTTCCGTGTAAAAATTAAGAGATTGGCGCTTTAATTTATGTTTTAGACCAATAAAAAGCCAGCTAGCCAACAGCCAATAAAAAAATGCCTATATCTATTTTCCCTACCAGCTGAGAGGGACTTACGTGTGACATTATTTTGCTCACCTACCTTGTTTTGATAATCGAAATAATGGCACTGAGCATTTGTATGCTAAGTGAGTCAAAATTAAAAGATCCAATTCGTATTTTAGTTCTAGTAAATATATATATATATATATGTGCAGAAGAGAATATATTGGTGTCTATAGACACCAAAGTTAAAAGACTTTTGATCTACCAATTATAGTCTTCTGCGTAAAATGTGACATTTATTTAAAAGTGCATTTGTAAGACATATTTGTACTAAAACTGAATCATACAGGGTGTGTATCTCTAATTAGCATCTTTTAAAATGCCGTAGAAACTGGTCCCAGTTTCTCATAGGAGTGTCTATAGACATATATCATTCACTATTATAATAAGTTTCTTAGGTGGACCCAGCATCTTCCGATAGAACTTGAGTGAGTTTCACTTATAGGACCTACAAATTCAGAAGTATTATTGACTTAATGATAAATGTAGTCCAGTGATGATAGTTGCGAATAACTTTTCCACTCGAGTGTATGCATGTTAGTACCCAGCAGGACTGGTAGTTGTATTATTGGTAGTAAAACATCTGGGTGAAACTCGCAATGAAGATTATGAACAACATCCATGTGTAATGCCGAGCCATCGTAATGGTTGATTCAAGGCCATTCGACTTTGGTGTATTTTCTTCACTGTTGACATATATATATATATATATATTGATGTGGTTGTGTTTTCTGAGCTGGATAGTTGATTTGCGTAAATTAACTATTCAGCTCAGAGAACAACCACATCAAAATCATCAACCTGAGCTACAAATCTTTATCATATATATGTATATATATATATATATATATATATATATATATATATATATATAATGGCAGAAAAGTCATCAAAATGAAGCAACAGGAAACCGTATTTGTAACGAATCACTTGATGATAATAAATTTACCCTAGATGAGAGCAGCAGCTTGTATGTCGCAGATAGCTCGGTCAGTATCCTTGCATGTTCATTAAATACTTCTGAAGGGACATAGTGGAGGTGTTAAGGAAACAACATTCCACCATATCTCTTAATTCGTGGAAATGGCTGTCGAAAAGATTTCCGTAAATAGCATATAAGGACGACAGATCATAAATTTAAATATTCCAATTATGATAATTATAGGGCACAATTTAAGCAAATATGTATTTTTGCTAAATTCGCAACAGGCTTTGTAATCATGTGATATAATATCAACCATAGATATTTGAAACAATGTCGTTAATAGAATCAAAGTTCAGGGATGTGAATTAGTGGAAAAGAATTGAGGTGAACATAGTAATAATACTGATGATGGTAATAAGGGTAAACTCACTCGTGTTTATATGACCAAGTTCCCCCTTAATTTGCTTCCCAATTGCTCCTTAGCTCTCATCTCCTCCTCATACCATTTCTTCCATATCATACTTGGATGCACAATTCGTCGTTTCTCACTTGGGTTTCACTCGAGGTCCTGGCACATGATGTCACCCAATGGTCTCCTCCTCGTGTATACGATCCATCTCCATGTCCTTCGGAATATTTGCTAAGCAATGGGTTCTTGGCTGGTTCGTTCCCAGACATCCTTTTTTTCCAACCCTTTCTGACCACCGTTCATAAAAATCTGAAGCCTATTGAAAATGCTTTTCATGACACGTCGTTTCCCACACATATAGAAGAATTGACTAAACATTTGTGTTGGAAATGCCAATTTTGCATTTCATGCTGAGTACTGATTTCAGGGTGATGAAGGTCTGTTTTACTTTTACGATTCTTCTTTTGACACGCTCACCCGTGCTGCCCTTTGTCGAAACTACGCATCCAGGCTGGATAGATGAAGGAAGTGACCGCTTTCATATTTCTCCTGTTGATAGTGTTAATGCTTGCTGTCACTAAAAGCCCTATCTTTTCTACTTCTTCTGCCAACTTGTTGGTTTCCGCCTCTAAGTCTTCGAGTTTGTGACATTAGACATATGTCGTCCGTGATGTCCGAATCTTGTAGTCTTATTGTTTGCCAAACGTACTTCTGTTGCCTTGCCTCCATAGTCTGTCACACGATTCAGTCTACTACAATCGGAAATGAGATCGGTAGTAGTTTGCAGTCTTGTGTTAGACCTGAAGAAAGCATGAGAGCTAAGGAGCAATCGGGAAGCAAACTAAGGGGGAACTTGGTCATATAAACACGAGTGAGTTTATCCTTATTACCATCATCAGTATTATTACTATGTTCACCTCAATTCTTTTCCACTAATTCACATCCCTGAACTTTGATTCTATTAACGACATTGTTTCAAATATCTATGGTTGATATTATATCACATGATTACAAAGCCTGTTGCGAATTTAGCAAAAATACATATTTGCTTAAATTGTGCCCTATAATTATCATAATTGGAATATTTAAATTTATGATCTGTCGTCCTTATATGCTATTTACGGAAATCTTTTCGACAGCCATTTCCACGAATTAAGAGATATGGTGGAATGTTGTTTCCTTAACACCTCCACTATGTCCCTTCAGAAGTATTTAATGAACATGCAAGGATACTGACCGAGCTATCTGCGACATACAAGCTGCTGCTCTCATCTAGGGTAAATTTATTATCATCAAGTGATTCGTTACAAATACGGTTTCCTGTTGCTTCATTTTGATGCGTCTTCTAAAGATCAAAATAGAAAAGACAACTTCGCAATTCATCCTCTTTCTTTTTAACACATATGCGTTTTGGAAATGGGATTGTTTGTATTGCACAATGCGAAGAGATCTATGCGTAACTTGCTCAACTGCATTTTGAAGCCCAGTCTTGGTGTACGTTACATTTTACACGGCATCACCAAAAAAGGAGAGCTTAAGAGTTTCATTTCCTATAAAACATTGGGAAGTAAGGCGGATATGAGTCAATTTATGGTCAGACGTAATCAAGGCGAAGTTGATTAGTAACTGTGCAGAATTGGATATGGCCGTAGATGCTGCTAAGCAGAATAATCCGAATGACTTGGAAGACAAATTAATGCAACAGATGAGCCGAGAGGTAGATGACAGTCACTATAAACATAAGACAATTAATTCTGAGAAAATGTCACTGGTGTGTCTCCTTTTAATAATGTTTAAATGACATGAGTATTTGTAGAAGAAAGTTGTGCATAGATGTTAATAGTAGCCTCATTTTATTTCTCCTTCACAGAATTCCAAATTCCCTGTAAGCGGCGTCGTTTTTTTTGCTAAGATAATGCGTCACCATATGTTGTTTACGAGGTTGGTTCCCGCGTATATATCCATATCATTGAGAAAATTCCTGGCATATATAGGTCTGACCTCTTGTTATCTTGAGTTTATAGACATATTGAACGGGTCTTATGATCTGTTCCGAGTGTTAAACGCTTACATGAGTAAGTATGTGGTGGTTGCTTACGAATAAGCTATAAGGGGGGCGGAGATTTCCTACGCAGATAAGATGTAGTTATTTTCTGTTTCACTGAATGTACAGCTACCATATTGCATTCTATGTTTGTTTCTATGAGACTCAACTTATGAGAAAACGCTGTCATCATTCACATAGCAGACATTGTAGTGAGAACATAATTGATTGAACTCATTAAGCATAGTAACATTTGCGAGGCTTATAAACTACCTATACAATTTTCGTAGTGTTATATTATGCAGGTGTACAGTTTGTGAGGTATTCACTTGTGATGCGAATAGTTTAGATAGGCGGTGTATTCGCCAATTATTCACATACATACCCCATTACGATAGTTTTGTGGTAGATTTCTTTGACCGTAACTGGTTAGTGGGATGATATCCGTGATTATTTTGTAACATGCATTCAAGATAAGAGAGACAGAGAGATATTTATGTTATAATACTGATAATCAAGAAGTATCTTGTAATGTAATTGTATGACATAGCAGAAATAGTGGGCATCAAATGTAAGATGATGGTGCAGGACTGGACTACACTGACTCCTAGTTTAGAAATAGGGAATGAAGTGGCAGAGCACGTTGACCGCTTCACTTATTTGGGAAGTACCATCAGCCAGTGCCAACGGGTTGATCTCTGACGAAACTTCAGCACGGATACAGAGGGCTAGTTTTGCATATGCCAGTTTACGCCGTCTCTGTCTTAGTAGACGTGATATCCGGCTGGGTGTCGACCAAAGGGCGGGTGTACTGCTCATCAGTCCGCTCCGTCCTCCTATATGGATGTGAGACCTGGCCATTGAGAGTGGAAGACATGAAAAGATTAGCTGTCTTCAATTATAGGTGCCTGCGTTCTATCTCCCATGTGAGGTGGTATAATAAAGTGAGCAATATTGAGGTTAGGCGTCGAGTTCTAGGTAAGGAGGAGAAATCAATCGACGAGGCCGTGAAATTACATCAACTGAGGTGATTAGGACATGTGTTACGCGTAGATGCCTTGTCATCGCCTTCCCCGAAAGTGGACGATGTTAGCTGATATAGGGTCAGGCTGGAAAAGAGCTAGCTGCAGTCAAACCAAAATATGGCTTCACCAGTCAATGAAATCCACAACAGTTAGTTTGATCCAGCCACGTAGGGAGGTGTAGACTTCCTGGTTGGGGTCCTCGGGACGGTAAAAATCAATGGTTGGAAACAATTGGTGATATAGCTCAAAATCGTTCTCAATGGCCAGTGCAGATGCATCCACTCCTTGTGACTTATAATACCCAATGAAACTATATTGTTCTTCGTTATTACTATTCCTTTGTCTCACACCTCTGTTTACTGTCTCTTTTATGCATTTCTTCTACTTTCTTCTCTTGGTTTGTGTGGTACAGGGGGGGAGTGTGGCGACATGAACTGCCGCACATCGGTACAAAGTTCTATGTCAAAAACAGACAGATAAACAGTGGGCATCTATCGGGAAAAAAGTAGAATCTGATGAGGGGTTTGTCTGATTAACGGGTAGTGTTTATTTTGTTTAATGTGAATTTTGATTGTAGTCAGTAGGCTACATGAGACGATGATTAATAATAGGGGGGGGGGTAACGGTATTTTCAGCACCAATTGTTAACCTCATGATCACGACTCCTATCACGATTACTACAACTCATTTTCATCGCATGATTGTTATTGTTTTATTCATCTAATACTTAGAATTCTTTAATTGTGCATTCCTTTCAAACTCACGTTAAGTAAGTAAATACATAATAATAAAGTTAGGCGTAGGGTTTCTGGTGAAGAGGAAAGGTCAGTTGATGGAGTTGTGAAGTTACATCGATACTTTGAGAACCATGAAGTATTATATTTCGTCCTAGCTTGAGACTTCCGACGAGTACTTATAACTTGATATGAATCCACATATATATATATATATATATATATATATATGTATGGTGATCTCTTTTTCTGTTTGCTCGCTTAGTCTGTGACCATTTCATTTTGATGAACCTGTCTCCTTTAACAATGTATATTCTCCTTATATTATATATAATATAATGTGTTTGTTGACAGTCCGTTGCTTGATGACATATATCCATATATGGTGGTTGTTGACATGTCTGCTATATTTTGCTATGTATATTAGGATCGACACTCCATTATAATTAGCCATTCATGTTAAGACTGTCTAGTGATTTGTTCACACCCTTTGTCTGGGTATTCATATATATTCATATATATGCTTCCAAAGCCTCAGGATGGTCGGGGGTGGGTGCCTTGCGCTGCGAGTTGGCCACCCCTCCGCACACCTCTTGAAATGCTCCCATATGACCGGGCGTCTTACATAGCCTCTCCTGAGGAAGTCCTACTCACTGCCTTCACGTGGCGGAGGTGTTTCTCACCAAAGTGAGAGGGCGAAAGCGGATGCCCGGCGCTCTCCACCGGGTTGACTGTCCATTGGATGACGGTCTAGGGGAGATGGCTAAACCCTGATTCCAAACCTCCAACGACTGGCGTATGAAGCTCACTGGAGCTCACCGGCAGACGTATGGACAAAGGGCTTGTTGGATGTCCTGGATGTCTGGCCCCATTCAAAAAGGCGTATGAACCGAACTCCGGTCACCGGCTCCCAATGGATAGTGGACTCCTTACTCCACTCCTACTGCCTTGTAGGTCACACTTGGCTGTGTAAAGGCTAGAGCTGAACTCTCAAACAAAAGGCCGAGCGATGCTGGGGACATCACTCGTACCAAATTCCCATGAAACTTCATGAACTCTCTTACAAATTGCCGCGCCTCGGCAGCGATGATTCGAGACGTTCATGAAGCCGGCTCATCCTCCCGTAGGAGATAGCCGAAGTAAAGTAAAAGTAAGCATATATATTTCGCTCTCACAAGTTGTGTGACTTACTTACTCTACTTACTTTGATGTGATACCACTTATTGCATTCTCCTTGTGTTTGGAAAATAGAAGTATCATCGCAAACCTAGTGGTCTTCTGATTTCCGCCTTCTTGCGTCAGGACTATTAAATTCTCGACCAGTACATAGCAATAATTTAGCGACGAGTACATAACATAACTCCATTGTGGATTGAACCCAGGAGATGAGGGTTGGCGGAAGGCAACCGCCGTGAATATACAGCCATTGGGTTGTAAGAAGGTGGGAATTCCAATGGCTGGTAAATTCTAACTTCTACCAATTCTCATCGTACATAAATACAAACCACGGTAACGAATATAAAAGGTGGCATTGTGTAAATACCTATCTGAATATATATCATTATTTTATAAGTTTTGAACCGATTATTCCAAAATATAATGTAACAACAGAAGACAAGGGCCGGCAACAGATCGTTTTATTACGTAAATCAACACGTATTTATATATATTTCCTGTACATTTTTATAACTTATTCAAGTAGACAAACGCAGTCTTCTGATTGGTTGTTTCTCGGAAGTTAAGTAGACAAACGCAGGCTTCTGCCTGGTTGTTTCGGGTAACCTCGGAAAATGGAGCCATCTATCTGCGAATCATATTTGCCCACGTTAAGTCTGCTGTGATTGGTTGTTGAATCAGTCTTGTTCATATTTTCTCACGGCCAATATTAGTGACCTAGACATTGACGTAAATTAATGTCTACCGATTGGCTAGCAGCCTGCTCTCACCACAATATCACATACTACTCACTGCCATTTGTGCATATTTTTTAATGCGTTTATCCAAATTGTGTTTTTTCTTCCTTTTGTTTCAGATATCACCTGTGACTGTTAATCGAAATTATTGTAACTTTACTGCCTATCGGCTAATCAGTTGTGTTAAATAGTAAAAATAATAATACTAGTAATAGCAATGATGAGATCAGCTTGTTCAACGTCTTCGTCGTCTTTTTCTTGTCCTCTAATTATTTTATTTCTTCTATTATCTGGTATTATTTGTTATTTATACACCGGTTATATGCATGATTTTATTTCTTCAATACACTTTTATTCTGCAATCTGTTCCCTACCGCTTACAGTATTATTATCATTGATTTTAAAGCGTCTACTATCATTTACTAAATATTCAATAAATCTTAAACTTTTATGTTCACCATCATCATTGTTATTTTTACTATCTGGTGTTCTGTTGAATACACTTTTAATCAATCAACACAATATATCGAATAAAAATTTACAAGCAGAATCAACTACAAAAATAAGTATGATTATGGGAGATTTGTTAACACTAACCAGTGGAATATTATGCCCAGTATTGATGTATTTAATGCATAATAATTTTAAACATTTTAATGAAGGAATTTTATTGTGGTTTGGATTTTTAGTTGGTTCATTCTTTCATATCAGTAATAATAATGTTAATGCACAATCATCATCCTCATTAAGCTCATCATGCTTAACATTAATATTGTTCAATATCTCAATAGTTATTCATTTTGTTTTACTGAATGAACAACGTTACATGCTTATTTGTTTAAGTATAGTCTCTTTAGTTGGCCTTTTGTGTTATTCTATTTTTAATTATTTACCAGATAATGGTAACAGTGAGACACTTATATCAAGAATACATTCAAATACAATTGCATTTTACATTTTAATTCATGGATTTATATTGTTTACTTATATACTTATTTGTGCATCCTATTTTATTACTTGTCCATTATTTAAAAGATTTAAATTTACTTATCATTTATACAAGAATATATCTGTACGATTGTATTTATGTTTATCTTGTGTTTATATTACCATTCAATTGGTTTTTATTTTAACTTTAATGAATTCATTGACATGGGATAAATTTTCAACAAGTTTATTCTATGGTATCTTTATATGTTTATGGATTATTCAACATTCTATTTGTTGCTTATGTCTTTTACGGCTAGGCAGAATAATTCAGCGTAGTGATTGTGCAACGCATAGCTTACCATTCCAACATAACGGTAAGTTCTGTTTATCTAGTTGTTGTTTTTTTTGTTAATTTTGATTATAGCTTGATTTCACACAGTATTTTCGGTGCAGGTATGAAATTTTCAGCATGTGATATCGGTAGCCCAAATTTAGCAGGCCGGCCATTGATATCAGGTGTGCGTCAGTCGGGGATCGAACTCTGGACCATGTGCATGGTCGGCGAGAGTCCTAACCGCTGTGCCACTGACGCAGTTTATATATATATATATATATTAAATATTCCCATAGTAAAATTTAGAACAACACATTTAAGCGAACAGTATTGTGTTTTCAATTAGATCTCATCAGGCTTAACTCTAATATATATAAGTTTACAAATAAAATATAAATATAAACCAATCATGGTGTTTTGTCTATAGGATAATACGATGGTGAATATAAGTTATGCAATTAGTCATAATATTAGTAATAATAATAATGGTTTTATCAATAATAAAGATGAAAGAATGAGGCAATCTGTGATAACACGAATAATGAAAAAAACAGTATGATTGAACAAACAAATGTTCAGGTAGACATAGTAGTCGATAAAGGCTAAGAAAAACAAATGAGCCGATTAATTAATGCTAGATTGTAAGGGAGTAAATGAAACACGTTTTTAATGAAGATGTGATAAGATTAAGGGATGATAAGAGAGGGGTTGAAAATATGAGTAAGGGGTGGTGTAGAAGTCATCAGTTGGTTATGTGTTAATACGCCACTAACGGAGGGATAATGGCTGTACGAACTTATTTTGAATGAGCATAGTTTAGGTTTAATAGTTCGAATGCCTATCGCCTAAGCTATGTGTGTGCAGTAGACGAATACGAAGTCTATTGGAAAGACTCGGTGGGATACGATGAATTACTTTGAAGGCTTTCGTTTTCTCCGCTACATGACCGCTATCAAGTAAATGTGACAAAATTGAGCTACGTGTTGTTTCTGTCTGTCCTTTGCCAAACCACCACGATGGGAGATGTTTAGTAGTGATACGTTGGCTAAGCTGTCTAGTAGGTACACCCGACATAACTGTCACCGCAGGTGCAGTTGAATTGATAAATGCACATAGATGTGGCAAAATTATCTAGCTTATCTTTCGTTTGTGTTATTATTATTATTATCATTACTCTTATTATGACTAATTGCACAATTTATATCCATCTTATTATCCTATAGACAAGCACCATGATGGGTATGTATTTGAATTTTTAATTGTAAACTTATCTATATTAAAGTCCGATGAGATTGATCGAAAACAATATTGTTCGCTTAAATGTGTTGTTCTAAGTATTTATGAGTTTCATCCTCTTCAACATTGAATAGTGAATGAGGAGTATTTCAACTTCAAACTCATTATTAAATTAATAATTCTTATTGACACATAAAATAAAGATTTTAACCAATTCAAGTGCGCTTTTGGAGCGAGTTATATTGGCTGTTGCTCTAGAAACTTGATTTTTCGTGCTCGAGAACATCTCCCACTATGGCTAAGTGAAGGTGTAGTGAAAGCCATTAACAGTTCGCTATTGGGCCATCTGGTGCAAACCGGTCACAAAACCAGCCAACACTGAAGAATCCTTCTCTATAATCTACAGGGGCCTAATAAATTGCTAAAATCATCGAAGCACCGCATGGTGCAAACAGCAGAGGCTATCGCAATTCGCGTGAAACAACCAGTGCTTTGTGTTCAAAAGAACCAAGTCCAGCCAGTCACTGCTACTGCCCTGGCCTTCAGTCGAGGCTATAAATTCATGAATTTGTACTATTATCTTTCCTAATTTTTCTGATATTCAGCTTATTTTATGTTGATGCTATTGAGCTGTAATATCTATTGATATTATTGATTCGCGGTTATTTAAACATTAACGTTGTTCATAACACTAACTCATTCATTCACTATAATGTATATATAACTGTAGAGCCTGATGATGAAGGGGTTATCGAAAAGAGTACTCTTTGTTCAGTATCCATTCTTTTGAAGAAATTTCTCTTTTCAGTGATTTCATTTACATAACTGTACAATTGTACACACAGATATGAAGTACAATAGACAATAAAAATCAGTTTACTTGTGTGTGTGTGTGTGTGTGTGTGTCAGTTGAAGTGTGACAGTGAATGGAAATACTATAGTGTGATCATATTAGTGTATATGATGATTATGAGTTAGAAATGGAGTAGATGTATGAATAAATCAATAACCAGTCAAATCCCTGTCAATCAACACTTTGTATATATATATATATATATATATATATATATATATATATATATATATATATATATATATATATATATATATATATATATATATTGGTGAAAGTTGGAATTCATGGATCATTGGGTTGGATTCCACTGGTTGAATCGTCTAAAAGCTCGCTTCGTAACTGGAAGGTCCTGTGGTCTAACCCCTGGTGGTGTGTGCGTACTTCTGAATAGTTCCAATCTAGGACAAAACAGCTATCCACTACTCCTAGCTGGTTTTCCAATGATTCTCTAACTCCTGATGTCAGCTTGTGAACATTCCTATAACCAAATAAATAGAGGTCAATCTTAAGTTCAATAGACATGAGTGATGATAGATGATAGAAAAATAAAATACATTCGGATATGTGTCTAATATTGATGGGGAATATAAGATGAGCGAAGTGTTGTCAATAAAATGTTAGAATGTGATGACGTCTTATTATTATTGTTCCTTTGGGTTTCTAGTGGAACATAAGGTTTCAACTGCACGTCTCCACTTGCTTCTGTCTTCTGCTGTACGTTTCACCTGCATCCATGTTAGTCCATACTGTTTCAACTCCTCTTCACACGATCTCCTCCATGTCACCCTTGCACTAACCACCAACTCTCTGCTTCCCTTTCGGGTTCCACTTGAGCACTTGCCTGACGCGCGATGCCACCCAACTGCCTCCTCAGCGAGTGTCCAATCTATTTCCACTTTCTGCTGCATATTTGTTAGTTGGCGATTAGTTCTTGTTTTGTTGGTTGCCATTGTTTCTTGTTGGTGATTCTTTCCAGCCGGGCCATCTGATCTTCAGTATAGAGCAAAGACAGTTAGTTATTGATAAAGGTAACGTCTGCAACAGACTGTTGGAAATATTCTTTGTGACCCACCCGCCAAGTTTCTGATGCGTATAGAAGAACTGACTGACTTGACGTTTGTATTGAAAAACCGGTCGAATTTTGTTGTTGATGCTGAGTGACGAGGATTCCCAGATTGGTTTCAGGTTGATGAATGTGTTTCTCGCCTTCACGACTCTCGATTTGACATCCTCGTCCGTGATAACGTAAAGTAAAATAAAATAAAATACAAAATGAAACATGGAATTAAAGGAGGCTATATTGCCAAAGCTTCCGTCATGCAAAGTAAATGCATTCGTGCTCGTTTCAGTAAACTTTGTAGACTATATTTTAAAGAGTGTGTATCAAACGCTGCATGATCAGTATCCGCTGTAATTTACAATATAGATAAATAAATGCCATTAAGCTCTCCTTTACTCAGTCAAGCTGAGAAGTGTTCTCAAATGCGGTGGGATATGTTTTTCTTGACGAAAGTCCAATATATACCTAGCTGTATTAGAGCAGGTAAACATATAAATACAAGTGAAATTGGAAAATTGACATAACGTGTTGCATCAGTGGACGGCTAGGGTAGGTTATTCGTAGACTGTTGTACTGGTATTGATTGTTTCCTTGACCTTAAGTTTTACATTTTGTGCATGAGATTTTCCTCTTATGGATTGGTAAATTTTGTCTATGTCAGTGTGCGTGTTAATTACCGGTTCACTGAGATGAATTTCAAGCTTCCAAAAATTCCTTGACGTTCTTGGTGTTTTCTTTGTCTAATATTTGAACGTTTTCCCAGTTGAATTAATGTCCCTGGTTGTCTATATGCAGTGATATAAGGGAGGAAGATATCTTGTCTTTTGACGGCTAGTTTATATTCATGGGTGCAAAGACTGTTTGTTAACACTGTGAAAGTGTCATCCACATATCTCCACCATATTTTTGGAGTAGAACATACGAATTTAGCTAAACCAAGAATGGTTGACCCCGAGAAGTTAAGTAATTTAGAAAAAAGCTCAGCATTGCATTGCACTGCATGCATGCATGCATTAACACACAACCGCACACACACACACACACAATAGGGTAGGAGAGGGTTAAAATTCTAAAGTGTAATTAGGTAGATGGAGAGAGAGAGAGACGTTGATTGCTGAATTTTCTTTTCATACTCATAAAAATAATAATGGAAGTTAGAAAGTTGTGTGAGTAGTGCCTTGATATGATTATGAGCAGTAATGAATTGTGCTCAAAATGTGGTCATCAGTAAATATTACTGTATAACACTGTGAGACTTTATCAAAACAAATTTTACCCATAATGGAATTATACTCTACCACTGCAGTGCACAAGTTTTATTCTTATATCAATTTCACTGATTGTTAAAAGAGACTTCGTATATTGATCAATAATCTTTTATTCATATTTTTTCTCTCTCTCTCTGCCTCTCTCATTTAGGACAAAACCGTGTATGGGCATCACTTGGTGCCCGCTACGTGGCTTTAATATCACAATACAATATGTTCTTTTCAATTTTGATAACTATCCTTTTTATTATTATCTTCATCAGTGCTCAATATCTAAGTGGTTCATTTAAACCAGTTAAATCAGAATTTGTACCTTTATTATTACAGTTATCATTTTTAATGGATTGTTACCTTGTCAGCATATTTTATCATCTTAGTAAAACAACAGGCCCAAATGCTATTGGTTATGCTTTATGTCACCAATTTTCAACGTTCCAGAATAGGTGAGTTGTTTGTTTATTTGCCTTTTTGTCTCAGCCTTTTTCCAAAATATGTATATGTACATTTAAATGAGTAGCGGTAAAAGTACTCGCAAGGTGTTTTCGCGCTTAGGGTGACTTATGCCACCAAACGAGATTTCACCGAAATAAGTTAACCTTCTTCTAGTTACCGTCTAATTGACAGCATAGAATAGTGGTGGCCAGTTACAAATTTGAATTTCCTCAGGTTATTGGTGTTGTTCCACAGTCTTATGTGATTTTTTATTGTGCGTGTGTTTTAGAGATGACTGTAGTAATTTCAGACGTTACATTTGGCTGTTACTCAGCTGGAATATCCTTTTTGTGGTGTTTGCTATACCTTACGCAAAAACATTTAGGATTGGATAACAAGGTGGTACTATCACCAGCCGACACAGTACAGATGTGTGTAGGTCATGGTGCCTGGGGTTTGAGTCTTACTCCGCTCCGTTGTTCATCATAAGAAACCGGGTAGTATACACAATAGGCATGTGGCTCATAGTCCGAGTAACTGAGTTCTAACTAACCAGCTAACTAATTGGGAATGTCTGTGGTTCCATGGTAGAATACCTGTCAACCACGCATGTTGTGAGGGTTCTATTCACCTGCTGACGAGCTGCTAAACCTCACTTGGAATCTAGTGAACCCGGTAGAGAGGGAAGGTTTGTCGTGAAGTTAGCAAATGTACTCCACAAAAGCATCATCGCTATTAGCACCTCTAAACTTGAAGCTGTATGTTTCAGTCAAAACTCGGAGGAATGAAAGCTACTAATTATAGCTTATTGTTATTTGGGCATCAATTTGTGCATTTGTGTGTTTGTGTGTGTGATGAGTGAACTTTCATTTCATCTCTTGAATAACATTCCAAATCCATTCCATCTGCTCTTGCAGATTCTGAGCACTTCTGTACTATATCTTCTCATTTCTTTGACTACCTGGACAGCTTTCCTAGACAGTCTGGTACATTGTACGAAGATTCCACGCTCCCATTCTTATTCTTACTTTCAACGAGAGAAGACACATCGGCTGGCTGACTGGCTGCCTGAAGGCTTTTACCAGCCTGATTCCAGCGGAGAATAATTTTTAAAATATATATATATATATATATTTGCATTTTTAATATTTACCTTGTGCTTTGAAGTTTCTGTAGCATTTTAATTGATTTTTTAGGGTAGGGTCGCTAACCCCAAAAACAACCCACCCTCTTTGCGTAGGCTTTCGACCGGCTAGAAAACTAACGAGCTAGTAAACCAGGCGAAGATTTTCAACGTGGATGTGAAGCCAGTTCTTCTACATGGATCAGAAACATGTCTTATCACGACAAACATTTCCAGCAGGTTGCAAACTTTCATCAACACCTGTCTTCTCTGTGTATTGAAGATCAAATGGCCAGAAAAAATTAGCAACGAAAAACTATGGGGACGAATCAACCAGGAACATATCGTTCAACAAATATGTAGAAGAAAATGGTGATGGATAGGGTACACACTGAAGAGACCGTCGAATGACATCGCGCGTCAACCAGGTCACCACTCGAGTGGAACCTAAATGGGCAACGACGAGTTGGGTATAGGTGTGAATGAGGGCGACATGGAGAGGAGATCTTGTGAAGAGGCGATAAGAGATTATGGGCAATCGTGCGACCAGCTGAAAAGGATCGTAAAAGTTAGGACGAAATGGAAATATGCTGTCAAAGTCCTACGTCCCACTTTGAACACAAGGGAACAATAATACAATCAAACAAAAATCCCTACAAAACCAATACTTGGAACAATAATAATAATAATCTTCCATAACAGTAAGGCATTTTCATACACAGTTTCTATGTACACTCGTGAAGGAGATTATCATTGATCTACTGGTAGAAGACCTAAATAGACTGTATTATCTAAGACGTATCATGAATGTACATATCTAATACACGCTCTCAGCACATCTCCCATTTCGAAGATGTAGTCTTCATTATTGAAAAAGAAACAACAACTGTTCGCTTTTTATCTTTGCTTTATGTGTCTACTTCCCACTGGTTTTTTGAAATTTATGTTTTTATTTAAACAGAAACTTAGTACTTTATAAGTGTGGTGTTATGACTCTGTTGGCTTAGGCACTTAGCTCTTGGTTCGCGAGTTCGAGTCCCGCCTCACCTACTGCTGCTGCTTTGGTCTGGGCAATTTCGGCAGTATTCATCAGATATTACAGACGAAACTGTGTTATTTAGCCTGACATATGAAAGATCTGACCCAGGTAACTGAGGTAGGCCAAATAATGATAGTATGTGCATAGAAAAATGCGCCAGGCGGAATGGTGGAATAGAAATCTATGCAAATATACAGTAGCAAATATGTAAGCATTTTTGTTCAATAATCCTGAACAAGCACTCATGACTAGATATCACTTCCAAGGATAGAAAAAAACAATAACAAAGAAACTGTAGCATTGGTGTTCCCACCGAGGCTCGAACCCAGAGCCCATAGTTTCAAACGCCAAAGCGTTATCCACTAGACCCTTTGGGCCCTAGTGGTGAAACTATGGACACTGGGTTCGAGCCTCGGTAGGAACACCATCACTCACTTCGGAATGCAGGCACATTCAGATGATGAGTCCCAAATAGGACGACACTGTAGCATTATCAGTCATTATTGATTTAGATTCTAGGCTGTGTCCAATAGGATTGAGAGTTATTGAGTCGTATCATCTTTCGAATCATACCCAAAGAATTATTGATCCACCGATAGGCACCGATTCACAGCAATTGTCTTTTATAGAACGAGCTCACTCCCCTGATTGAACTTCTCTCTGTGCATCTTCAAAACACTGTCAGTGACAACTTTCGCAGCACTTTTTACGAAAAAAATGAATATTCATCTTGTCCAAACGCATGGAGCCGATACACACAGCTGCACAAACTAAGACTGAACGCTTCGAAGCGTTGTAAATCCAGTTTTCTGATGGTTAGATTAACGTGGTGTTTAAACAAGAGATAATAGAAATTAAATTTTGGACTAACGAGTTTACATTTCATCTGTCAGCGAATACTGACTCAATATATGTGCAAAACTTGGGCACTGTGGTAGTAATTAATTCCATATAAGTTTGTTTATAAGATATATCACACAGTGGCTCCAACAGTATTATTTACTGGATGACACAGTTTTGAACAAAATGCATTGTTCATAATCATTTCATCATCAGTTATAATCACACGACTTGGAAACTTGAGTTTTATAGTTTTCTTTCTTCTCTCCTATTTGTCGTCGTTGAGGTAATGGAATTTTCCAGATATCTGGGTGGACAGGTGTTGAACCATTCCTATAACATGTATTTGCAGTTTATACGATGAACAAAGCTTCTGTTATCAATCTCTCCCTCCATCCACCCCGTGACATTAGATTTTAAAACTGCCATCTTATCCCACTCATCCTATTGTATGGTTGTGTGTAACTGCATGTAATGCTATGGCTATAGCAAACTTTTGGGTTGGGGGTGAACCTTTCAATTGCAAAATTTTCCCACCTATCCATGAATATATCTGCCAAAGTATGTTGGAGGTATGTAGATGACACATTCACTGTACTTAGAACACAGGGCATAACTAGATTTTTCGAACACACTAACTCAAAGGTGCAGGCAGTTCAATTCACTTTGAAGTGGAAAGTCAGGAAGGGGAACTTCCAATGTCAGATTGCAGCATAAAAAGGAAAGAACACTTGTGTTTACAGGAAACTCACACATTCAAGCATATATTTGGACTTCCAATCATCCTATCTGATGTTAGTAAAAGTAGGATTGGTGAAATGTTTAAATGACAGAGCACAAAAACTAAGTAATACCAAGGAAAATCAAAGACTGGTTGTGAGACATATCAGGGAAGCCTTGAAACTTAATAATTACCCTGATAAATTAGTCAGAAAGTATGTAGGGAAATGTAAAAATAAAATAAATAATGATAGTAGTGATAGTGATAATAATAATAATAATAATGGTAATATTAATGACGACATGCATGTCAAATATGCGCAAGACAACACCAACAATAAGGAATCTAAATCATCAGTAGTAGTTCCATAGAAGGAAGGAACCTCGGAGACCTTACGCAGAATTCTTAAGAAGGCAGGAACAAAAGCGGCTGGCATTCAAACCAACAAACTCAATTACAAACAAGCTTTGTCGGTTAAAGGATCAATCCGGTGGAGCCTTTAAAACAAAACAATTTAGTTTATCTCATACCCAGGAGGAGGGTATGATTGTCAGGTCAAATACACAGGTCAAACAAGTAGAACAGGGGCAGTCAGACTAGCTAAGCATAAAAATCTAGATTAGTTGACCCGAATAAGATAAGTAATCTAGAGAATAGTTCCGCTGTATAGCATTGACTACATGCAATTCTGCACAACCGTACAATAAGATGGATGGGATAAGATGGCAGTTTTAAAATCTAATGTCACGGGGTAGATGGAGGGAGAGATTGATAACAGAAGCTTTGTTCATCGTATAAACTGCAAATACATGTTATAGGAATGGTTCAACACCTGTCCACCCAGATATCTGGAAAATTCCATTACCTCAACGACGACAAATAGGAGAGAAGAAAGAAAACTATAAAACTCAAGTTTCCAAGTCGTGTGATTATAACTGATGATGAAATGATTATGAACAATGCATTTTGTTCAAAACTGTGTCATCCAGTAAATAATACTGTTGGAGTCACTGTGTGATACATCTAATAAACAAACTAATATGAATCACTGACTCAACTACTTAGATGTATGAACTCTCAGTAGTGATTACAATGATAAGCATCTTTCAGTCCTTCAACGGTCTTTTGCATGTACTATCACATTTGAACTTGTCATTGAGAATATTCTAATCTGAAGGTTTGAACGGTATCTTATATATATATATATATATATATATATATATATATATATATATATATATATATATGTTTGCAAGGAAGAACTTCACTTCCTAATTAATGGGAAACAGTAGTTACACAGTTTCACCTTCATCATTATCGACTGCAATACATATATGCATAATAACTGACGCCTCTCTCTAAGCTGAGTCAGACCGCATACACTGCCGATGAGCTTGGCCCCAGACAAAGTGAAACAGCTGTCCAGTGTTTAGATCACCTTAGTCTGACTGGCTGGCATGCTACTAGTCATCTCAGTCTGTCAGTAGTAGTATATATACGTTTGCTCATTTATGCTTGATTACCGTTTATGATATCGAATGGATCAGATATTGTGTTATCACAATAAGAATAACTTGATTTGTAAAGAAAACCGCGATGAAATAGTATTTCACACCACTCCGAACTGTGTAAATTGCAAATTTACCAGTCAATTTTCAAATTATAAATCTGATTTGTAAGTACAGTTAGTTTTTTTCGAGTCATTGATTTTTTGTTATTGTGGTGCATATGAAATATTGACTTGAGTAGACCAAAGTCCATTTGTTATTCTTACTATTATGTATCAAGTTGGATAGATACTCTGAGTAGAACACTTAACAGTGAATTTTTTTTATCAAATGTGCGTCGGTGTCACAGTGGTTAGGATTATCGCTGACCCCATGAACATGGTCTGGGGTTTGATCCCCTGCCGACGCACACCTGATATCTATGGTCGGCCTGAAAAATTTGGGCTACCGATATCACGTGCTGAAAATTCCATGCCTGTGTGGAATCAAGGTGAAATCAAAATTTCAAAAAAAAAATAAAATAATTAGGCCCAATATTAGCTGACTTCTTTCTCGCAAAACTTGAAAACGGGAAATTGAAGGATACCATCAAGGAGTTGGATATGTATTACCGATATGTCGATGATACATTTATCTTAGCTGATGGGAATGTCAACGTAAACGAATTGTTACTTAAATTCAACAACATCCACCCTTCGCTTACCTTTACTTGTGAAGAGGAGCAGGAGAATAAACTACATTTCCTGGATGTCTTGCTAAGTAGGAGAGAAGATGGGTCACTTGGGAGAAGTGTGTGCAGAAAAAGCACATTCACAGGGCAATACACACACTTCCTTAGTTACGTGCTCATTGAATATAAAAGGAATCTTGTAGAATGTCTCGCGAGCAGAGCAAGGAAGATATGTACGGATGACCTCTTACAAAAGGGACTTGAATATATTCACGATTCCTTGACGGAGATGGGCTATCCGAGTAGTTTCATAAAGAAACATATGAAACCATCAGAGAAAAAACCTGTGACTCTGACTGCACATAAGAAACCTCTATTTATTAAATTACACTTAAATGGTGACTTATCAAGTGAGATTCTATTCCAAAGACTTTCAAGGAGTATACGTAGAACATTTTACGCAGCGTACCCATGTTTGTCATTCTCTAGCCGACGAATGATTGGGGCGCAAACGAAGGATAAGCTTGATAGTTTTGCCACATCTATGTGCATTTATCAATTCAACTGCACCTGCGGTGACAGTTATGTTGGGCGTACCTACTAGACAGCTAAGCCAACGTGTCATTACTAAACATCTCCTATCGTGGTGGTTTGGCAAAGGACAGACAGAAACAACACGTAGCTCAATTTTGTCACATTTACTTGATAGCGGTCATGTAGCGGAGAAAACGAAAGCCTTCAAAGTAATTCATCGTATCCCACCGAGTCTTTCCAATAGACTTCGTATTCGTCTACTGCACACACATAGCTTAGGCGATAGGCATTCGAACTATTAAACCTAAACTATGCTCATTCAAAATAAGTTCGTACAGCCATTATCCCTCCGTTAGTGGCGTATTAACACATAACCAACTGATGACTTCTACACCACCCCTTACTTATATTTTCAATCCCTCTCTTATCATCCCTTAATCTTATCACATCTTCATTAAAAACGTGTTTCATTTACTCCCCTTACAATCTAGCATTAATTAATCGGCTCATTTGTTTTTCTTAGCCTTTATCGACTACTATGTCTACCTGAACATTTGTTTGTTCAATCATACTGTTTTTTTCATTATTCGTGTTATCACAGATTGCCTCATTCTTTCATCTTTATTATTGATAAAACCATTATTATTATTACTAATATTATGACTAATTGCATAACTTATATTCACCATCTTATTATCCTATTGACAAAACACCATGATTGGTTTATATTTGAATTTTTATTCGTAAACTTATATATATTTGAGTTAAACCTGATGAGATCTAATTGAAAACAATATTGTTCGCTTAAATGTGTTGTTCTATTATTTATTTGTATTATTTTGATTTTTGCGTTGTAAGTAGGATATTAAGCCTCTAACAGAACCTCTCCATGGCTTTTTATCCGGTTCCACGATTTCCCAATAGCTTTCAATTCCCCCTCACATGATCTCCTTCATGTCACTACTGATGGACACTGAACTGATTGCTACCCACTCGCTTTCCACTCGAGTGGTTGCATTGCGTGTGTGTGTGATGTTACTCGACAGTCTCTTCAGCGTGTGTGTGTACAACTAATCTATCTCCATTTTCTGTTGCGTACTTTTGTTGGGTGATTAGTTCCGGGGTTCTTTGGTGCTGCTTAACCTTTCTAGCAGGCCATCTGATCTTCTGTATCGAGTTAACAAAAAAGCTGGCAGCTGAAGTTGAACGTGAACACCGGCAATAACCTTTCGGAAATGCTTCTCATGACAAGCACTAACTAATTATCGGAACCATATATGGGGACATTGGTATTGGAGCTCTGGATGTTATTCCTTATGTTGAGTACAAGAGATCTCCACACTGGTTCCGGAGTAATAAAGAAGTGCCTTTATATATATATATATATATATATATATATATATATAGTGTATTAGTATCAGTTTTATTGTCCTGTATTTTGTCATTATTTCCTCTAGTAATCATCCATCATCTCGAGAAACACCAATCAAATCATCAACAAATTCAATAACAAGTCAGCTGTTATCTGACAAAGCACCTTTTATGAAGTCAATGCTATTGATTGAGAAATTTTTCACTTATTATTCAATACAAAAATATGGTTGTGTTTATACATCATCAGGTCAGGTGAACAAAGTCGACAATATCACAAATACTGCTGCTGTTGATAATGATCATGATAATCTACTACCACTTCCATTGTCTGAACAGTATCTTCGAGGGATTGGTAAATTTTTTCGTGAATGCTTATCTGACAGTGATATTCGATATGACACCTATGTACTATACTACATTGGACCAGATAATAATAAAGGTGATTGGATATTTGAAGGTATGCCGCGAGTAAGGGTGGGATGTGTCTTTAGGCCTATTTTTTTTATAAACAGTGAAAGATTATTAATCAATTATTATCATTGATTTTTTTGGTGTGGTTTAGCTTCCCTGAGCTTACTGACTTAATTTCCAAGTCCTTTTATAAAAGAAAAGGCATCCAATGAAGAGTTATTTATTCTTTTCAGCGATATCATTCTCAAATTGTGTCACATTAGCTTGAACACTCAATTTTCAGTCAGTATATCCTGGGTTTGAGTCCCTCTCGGCTTACTTCAGTCTAGTTACCAAGTGAGTAGTTAGTAATTATAAGGAGTAAAAATGTATGCAGCATTTAATATGCGGATCGCTATCGCTTCTGCAGTTTGAAAAAGTTTGATTCGTACTGCTATGGTAAAATTTTCGGCTACCGTGTAGATGACTTTGATGTTGGTTTACAAATTTCAAAAGTCTGAGATTAGTGAAGTAGAAAAGAAAGCGGACATTTTTGGTAGAGTATAATTCCATCACTGAGTTTATTTATTCGGTGAACACTCTGAGAATTCATATAAACTGTGACGAAGATATGATCGAATTATTATTATTATTCCTTTGACGTCCGAGTGGAACACAAGGCTTCAACAATACATCTTCACTTTGTCGTATCTTCTACCGTTCTCTTCAGCTGAGTCCACGATTCCCCATAATCTATCATCTCCTCCTCGCCACAAGATCTCCTCCATATCACTTTCAAAGCGACGACCTACTCGTCGTTTTCCATTTGCATCTCACTCGTGTGATGGCTAACGTGCGATGTCATTCGATGGCCTCTTCAGTCGCATATGACCGATCCATCTCTATTTTCTCCTACATATTTTGTCGGCTCATGGTTGGTTTGTTCCCAGCCAGAGTTTCTTGTTGCTAATTGTTTCTGACCATTTGATCTTTAATACATAGCGAAGACAGATGTTTGTAAAAATTTGCAGTCTGTTAGAAATCGTTTTCGTGACACGCCAAGTTTCTGACCCATATAGAAAGACCGCCTTGATACTTGCGTTGAAAATCGAATAGTTTCAAAATAAGTGGGAGCCGAGTGAAGACAAGGACCAAGCAACAGATATTTATAGATTTTTATGTACATTATTATTCGTTACTCTTACCAGCGAAACAGCGTCTTTTGATTGGTTGTTTTCTCACTGAAAGTTAATCTATCATCTCTTTGTGGTTGTTTCTTTGGATGTCAGACCGTATGTCAGCTAATCGTATGTGTACACGTTAAGTCTGTTGTGATTGGTCGGCTAGTCCCTCAAGGTTAAGCTTTGTTATCTCGTGACCCCGATTCTCGACATAAACACTGACGTATATTGGTGTTTAAAATTTTAGCTTACAGACAGCTTTCACCACAATATTTGTTAAAGTCCAGCGAAATTGAAATACCTAATTCCAACGCGTTTTGTCGGCAAACTGGTCCGAACTTCTTCAGGGAAATTATTCAAAACTAAAATAACAAAGCTATATATATATATATATATATATATATATATATATATATATATATATATATATGGGCACATCTTATATATATGATATGTATCCACATATATATATATATATATATATGTGTATGTTGATCTCTCTTTCTATTGCTCTCTTAGTCTGTGACCATTTCACTTTGATGAACCTGTCTCCTTTAACAATGTATATTCCCCTTATATAATATATAATATGAGTGTTTGTTGACAGTCCGTTGCTTGGTGACATATATCCATATATGGTGGTTGTTGACATGTCCGCTATATTTTGCTATGTATATTAGGATCGACACTCCATTATAATTAGCCATTCATGTTAAGACTGTCTAGTGATTTGTTCACACCCTTTGTCTGGGTATTCATATATATTTCGCTCTCACAATTTGTGTGACTTACTTACTCTACTTACTTTGGTGTGATACCACTTATTGCTTCTCCTTGTGTTTGGAAAATAGAAGTATCATCGCAAACCTAGTGGTCTTCTGATTTCCGCCTTCTTGCGTCAGGACTATTAGTTTCTCGACTAGTCCATAACAATAATTTAGCGACGAGTACATAACAATTTGGCGACGGGGAAAACTAGTACATAACAATATAAAAGCCTTGTGCAGTCATATAACTCACAAACAGATATCAAAGTGGAATAAAAAAATGCATGATTCAACTTGGACTTTCCTACCGATTGATTTATTGGACTGGAGTGTTCGACCACTGTTGACCTATCTAGTGGATAACTCTTTTGTGTTTAAAATGGTGGGTATTAGCTTCGAGCCTCAGGGGGAACACCATCACTAACTCACTGTGGTATGCAGGCATATCCAAGTGATGAGTCTAAACTAGGTTGAAATGCGCACCCTGAATTCTACTGTTAGTCCACCATCCACCAAATTAAAATCAGCATCGTTGAAGCATCTGCACTAGTAGCGCCGACATGTCAACCTGAGACACTGAAAACTTCGGTCCAGTTAGTCAACGTGAAAGTCCAAACCGAACTGAATAACAATTAGTGCCTATTTTAGTAATCCAGTGTTCTATAATGTGTTGAATGTCTCATTATTATTACAGTATTTAAAGCAATTAGTTCCCTTTATGAATTTTGACAACACAATAAGAAGACGTAGTTTATCTGAAACGTGTAATGTATTGGCGATACACATTTCGGACATTCTCATCACACACGTACTTGTCATACACAGTTTTTATATAAAAGTCATGAATAAGTACAATACAAGTCAGAGTGTTTGCAGGTCAAGATCACAAATAATAGGTAGGGAGACGCATTCCAAAGTGGCTGCAACAACAAATGAAATCGCCAGACACAATTGACCCCGGAAATAAATGTCCAACATCATCTAGAGCGAATCACATAATAGAGACAGGTCATACGGTTGATTTCAACGATGTCTTTAAGCCGATGTATAAAACAAGGTTGGGTCACATACTTAAATTCATTGAAGCCTTAGTTAAAAAAAGACTTAAACCTGTCCTATGTGTCCAAAAGCTATTTGTTATCACCTTAAACCTCCCTTGGTAATCCAATTTAGAACCAAGGACCAGTTTACTTCATAATATGTTCAACCCCTTCTTTGCCTTGTTTTTTCTCTTTTTACCTTTCTTACCCACACCTTTTGCGTCTCCCTACCCATTATTTGTGATCTTGACCTGCAAACAATCTGACTTGTATTGTACTTATTCATGACTTTTATATAAAAACTGTGTATGACAAGTACGTGTGTGATGAGAATGTCCGAAATGTGTATCGCCAGTACATTACACGTTTCAGATAAACTACTTCATCTTATTGCATTACAGTATTTAATTTACACTGCACTTGTCGCTTTGCGTCACTTATACCATACCTAACTAGCTGCCTATACGAACTGTTATTTCGAAATCAGTTGATATTCCATTATGGGTAAATTTTGTTTTGATAAAATCTCACAGTGCTATACAGTAATGTTTACTGATGACCGTGTTTCGAGCACAATTTATTACTGCTCATAATCATATCAAGGTAGTCACACGACTTCCTAACTTCATTTATATAGTTCCATTGTTTTTCACTTGATTTGATTGGTAGTAGTATTTTCCATATTTCAGGTATGAGTGATGAATCATTCCTGCATGTGTTGGGTGTAGACTCAATGAACAAGGATTCAGTAATCAACCTCTCTCTCTCTCCACTCACCTATATTACTTCTTGGAGTTTTAATCTACTCTCACCCTATTGTATGGTTGTGTGTTAATGCATGCATGGAGTGTAATGTGATGCTGAGCTTTTTTCTAAATTACTTATCTTCTCGGGATCAACCATTCTTCCCTTAGCTAAATTCTTATGTTCCGACAATCTGACTACCCCCAACCTGCTAGTTTGACCAATGTGATTGACTTGGCTCACAGTCATTACTGGCTTTTTGTAAATTATATAATTTCGTCTAATTGGGTCAACCGACAGGGTCCTTTAACCTACAGAGCATGACCCTGCCTGAGTGAGTTTGTATGTTTGAACGTCACTCTAATTCCGCTTTATTCAGAATCCTATCTAGAGTCTCAGACGTCCTCTCTTTGTATGATATAACAGTGGATGACTTATTTGCAATTAATAGTGTTCTCTGAGCTGGTTGGTTTAGTTGCAGAGCTTTCGTCGTCTTTCTGGACGACATCTTCAGCGCAGTATTTAGCATAAAGTCAAATGACTTAGAATCTTCATGAATGATGATACAATTGCGTCTCCTGGTGACCAACCATCTTTACATATGTATTGACTGTTTTCTATTGATTGGGATTTTAAACTTTCTGGTCACCTGATTTGCTTTTTATTAGTTGATATATTTCATTTATATTAACGTGTTTATTAATGGCATTTTCGTTTGAGTACCAGGCTTCTAGGAATTCCCTGGCACATTTGGTGTTTCCTCTGTTTAATATTTTGATATTATCCCAATCAAATTGATGTCCATAATTGTCTGTATGCATTGATACTAAAGAATTTATATCATGTCTTTTCACGGCTGATTCGTGTTCTTGGATTCTTATTCGAAGGGACGCCCACTTTGGCCGATGTTATGTTTGTGGATGACTTATATTCTCTGTTATTTATGTTATCATTACTAGTTTCACAATTATTTTTATTTTGCTTTTGGTCTTTACTGAACTTCCTAATGAATTTTAGGATAGTTATTTGATACTAACGCTTCTTCTATCTGTTTTACTCATCATTATAATCCTTATGGCAAAAGCTTCAGCCACCTCTTGTGAATACCTTGTTATGATTATGAGCAATAAATTGTGCTCGAAACGTCATCAGTAAACATTACTGTATAACACTGTGAAACTTTATCAGTTGATGGTCGCATTTAACTCTAAGGGGTACAATATCCATTGTGTTTGTGTGTTCATATTCTGTTGATGACTGAGACTTATGTATACAAATATTCGCTTAGGTGGCTTATATATATCAGTGGTTCTTCTCACAGGTATGTGTGTGTAC